TTTCTTTGAGTAGGGGGCTTACCAAGAGGGAAAATGAGAAGAGTGCTGGCTCATCTTGGATCCTCCCTGGGCAGCCTCAGTTTCCTCATCTGTGAAATGAAGGTGTCAGCTGTGGCTGGCCTCTGCAGATCCCTGGATTCCTGTGATTCCATCAATCCCAGGTAGCAGGTGGGCAAGGACAGAAGGGGAGCCCTGAGCCCTGTCTGCCCAAGATGGGGCAGTACAGACCCCTAAACATGCAGCATCTCGTCCAGCTAAAGCACCGAGCGGGGATTTAAAAACTTTTAAAACACTCTGGTCCTGTCTTCAGGGAGCTTCCAATCTCCTGTGTCCTTCCAGGGACCCTCTCTGCTTTCCTACCCACCTCACTCCTCCTGCCATGGGTACTGCCATTTCCACACACTGCACACTGCCCGATCCTCTCCTCACGCTCAATGCCTGCTGTTTCCCTTACACACCTGAACCTGACTGTCCTCTTTGTGGCCTGTGTCTGCTCCCTACCTTTGAAAGCCTCTCCCCTCTCCAACACACACCTGGGATTTCAGCCCTCTGATTCACACAAACACACACACACACACACACACACACACACACACACACACACACACCCCTCCCCTCCCACACCGTGTGTCCTCCACTCCCCTCTGTGTTCATGCTTATACTGTTGCCCACTCCCATTTTCTTTAAAAACCCCCTTGACCATCCCTTTATCAACCAGGGGTAGCCCCTAGACCACCATTTATGGGTTTTGTCAACATATTTCAAGCCACGAAGTGTCCTGTGGCCCTGTTAGTTTGAAGAAATTGTAGTCTTTATCAGAGATCATAGGTTTGTAGGCCTAAAGCTAGAAGGTACCTTGAGCTCTCATATTATAGATGAGGAAACTGAGGCCCGTAGAGATTAAGTGACTTGCCCAAGGTCACCTAGGGAAAACGTTATCAGTGACAGGATTTGAACCTGGGACTTGCTCCTTTCACTGTATTAAACTCAGAGAATTTAGGGTTCTTGTGGGTGGGTGGGAGGCAGCAGGGGAGGTGACAGACTTTTCTCCCAGGAGCTCTTCAAGTCCATTTGGTTCTAGGAGACAGGGCTGAGACTGTGAAGCATTTGGGAAATTCTTTGGGGTCTGGAGTTAAATTTTACTAATATCTTTTTCTTCTATGAAACGTTATACTCTTAAAGGTGCTTTTATGCACATCTTTTACCCCCATACCAGTTCTGTGGGTGCTCAAGCTGGGAAGAGAGGTGAGGGGGTGGGGGGATCGTGGTGTCTTCGTCTCATAGATGATGAGATGTAGGCCCAGAAAGGCTTGGTAACTGTGGCATTATCACCCAGCTAAGTGTTTTTGTTTGTTTGTTTTTTGTTTTTCAGTGAGGCAGTTGGTGTTAAGTGACTTGCCCAGAGTCACACAGCTAGGAAGCATTATGTGTCTGAGGCCGGGTTTGAACTCAGGTCCTCCTGACTCCAGTTCTATCCACTATGCCACCTAGCTGCCCCCAGCTAAGTTTTTGTCGGAGCCAAGACTAGAACTCAAGTCTTCTCATCCCTAGCCCGGGCTTGATTTCTCTCTGCCCCACCTGGCCGTTAAAACTTTGTTGGAGATAGAGGGGGAGGTTGTGGAGAGAATGCTTAACGTGGAGGCAGGAAGATCTGGCTTTGAATTCCACCTCTGACACTCACTAGCCAGGCCTCAGGCCACTCTCTGAGTAAGATGGGGACTCAATTGTGAGTTGATAGAGTGGATAGAAATCTGAGATGCCATTCAAGCTCTTATGAGGTACCCACCCACTCTGTGAAAGGCTCCAGGCAACCTCAAGAAAGTGCTGAAAGATCCACGCTCCTGGCCTGTCTGGTTTCTTTTTGTCACTGAGAGTGAAATTTAGAATTTGTATGGAATTGTAGTGGAGGCCTTTTTGGTCCTGGTGCTGAGCCAGGCTGTTGGCCCTTGTCCAGGGCCCTGCCTCCTAAATCCCACCTTTTTTCAACCAGAAGCCTTTCAGGAAATGGCCCAGGGCCAGTTTGTTCAGTGGGACTTTGTGTGAGATGGAGCCCCAGGGGCCATTGGCCTCTGTGAACTTTGTCAGCTTCCCTGAGTACCAGGTGTCTTGGAAGGGATGGAGACCTGTGCTTTTAACTCCAAGGAGGGCTCCTTTCACTGCTTGCTACATTTCTGAGATTACTGAGGCTCAGTCCAGTCTCCCAGGCTCTCTGTAATTCTGGCCCTTCTCCGTTTCCTTGGCTTCCCTTAAAAGCAGCCCAAATGCTACCTGCTGTGGGAGACCTTTCCCTTCCCTGCCCTTCTTCCCCACTCCTCAAAGATTAACCTTCCAGTGATTTTGTATGCACTTTGCTAATTATGTTGTCTTTTCATTGAAATGTGAGATTCCTAGTAGGTGCTTAATAAATGCTTATGAATTGAAGGTTGTTAGAAGTGGGCCTTTCCAATACTCACACCAGGTGTGAGTATTAGTGTAGCCTTGCCCTCTCTCCTGCTCCCTCTCCTCTTTCCACGTCCTCTCTAGCTGCTTCCATCAGCCCCCATGGATAAATGATCACTGCAGGGCTGCCCACATCTATAGACACAGCTCTGATCTCTTTCCTCACCTTCAGCCCCAAACTGTCAACTGTCCACCTCCCTTCTGTGCCTTGATGTTCCCACAGGGTCCCAAACTCAACAGGTCAGAACCAGAATTCACTCTGTTTCCCCCCATACCCATCCTCCCTCCAGACTTTCCTGTGTTTCTTAAGAAGACTGTTAGCCTCAGGTCTCCCAGGCTGGCCACATTACCATTATCCTTGCCCCTTGCCCCTCTTTCCCCCTCTCTCAGCACCTCTCACTTGGATTATGGTCCTGGTTCCAGGCGATGTCCTCTCCAGCTCTCCCCTGCCGTAGCTGCCCAGGTGACCCATCTAACATGCAGATTTTATCCTGTCACCCCTCTCCTCTCTGGGCCTCAGCCTGTTAAATGAAGGAGCTGGAGTCTAGCATGTCCCAAAAGCCCTAACAGGCCTAGTAATGCCCTCAGAGGCCCCTTCCTTTGTGCTGAGTGAAAGATCCCATGACCAAACTCTATGGCGTGCATTTAAAGCTCTTTGCCATCTGGTTGCAGCCCACCTTCCCGGACTTACTTAACATTCCTCCCCCTCACCCACTCTTGACAGACAATCGGCCCACTTTCCATTCTGTCTCTTCTCTCCAGGTCTTTGGTGGGGCTGCCCCCAGGCCTGGAATGCTCCTTACCTCCCTTCTGCCTCTTAGGATCCTCCATTTCCTTTCTGGTGCCTCTCAAATGAGGTTTTTCCTGCTCCCTCAGATGTTGGCATCTCCTGGCCTTGAAATCCCTTTGTATAGAGTGTGTGCGTGTAACAGATCCCTGCAGTAAGCTGCTCGCAAAGGCTGTTGTGTTAAAATGTATTGATAACTAAAGTTAAACTAACTAAGCTATAATAAATAATAATAAACTAAAATAAAACTAAAGCTAAACTGAAGTTAAAAAGTTAAAATTAATCTATCCTTCCCTCCTTTGTCCTTGGCACTGGTGGGAACCTTTAACAGATAATTTGTATGAGGATTTAGAATAGAGGGAAGACCATTATCCTTCCTAATCGACAATTAGGTGCCTCCAGCTGTCTTCTAAAATACCCAATCTCATACCCAGAATAAATATTTCAGTACGTCAGTCAGGAAACATTTAGTGCACAGAGCTGTTAGCCTGGAGCTAGGGAGATTTGAGTTCAAATCCAACCTCAGATACTTACTAGATGTGTGATCCTGGGTACGTCACTTAACCTATTTGCCTCAAGTTTCCTCATCTATAAAATGGAGATATGTTTGGAAAGACTCATCACCAGGTTAAGTGGAGTGAGGGGAGGCAGGGTTCTCCAGCACAGTATAGTCAAACTCAGATGGAAATGGGGCAGGGGAGGTGTCACTAAACTGAAGCCTTTGTGTTGACTTAGAAAACCATACATGACTATAGATTTATTTGTTTTTATTAATGCATCAGCACGTTAAAATCAGAGAGGGACTTCATTTTAATCTGTTCTGGGGCACAGTTGGGGCCAGCTGGGGGTGTGTCTGAAGCCTCTGCTCAGATACTTTTTCTCTCCTATTCACAAAGACATATATTAGAAATGTAAACAAAAGCATTTTCCCCAGATGCTTGCCAAAATACAGACTTCTCTGTCATTGCTTTTGAATGTAAAAACACTGGGGGAAGAACAGTACAGTGTAAGCTAGTTGAAGGCAAGGACTATTTATTTGCTGACCTTCCTACTTCTTTACCCAATCAAAAAGCAAGAAAATCCCTTCTAATATATGTATGTAGTCATTTATAGTATTACATATACAAATATGAATGCATATGCAAAAATCTGAGTCTCATTCTGCACCCCGAGTCTGTCCTCCCTTAGCCTCTGTTCTCATTGGCTCTGTGATCAATCATTGCACTGATCAGAGTTCCTAAGTCTTTCAGTGGTCTTTGCCTTTACGATATTGCTATATTAGAGCGTACTAGATTTACAGCATTGTACAAATTGTTCTCGTTCTGCTCACTTCACTTTGCATCAGTTCATACAAGTCTTCCCAAGTTTCTCTGAAGCCAACCCCTCCATCATTTCATATAGCACAGTAATATGTACTGTGACTTGTTCAGCCATTCCCCAGTTGATGAGCAGCTCCCCAGGTTTCACTTCTTTGCCACCACAGAAAGAGCCACCATAATGTTGTTTTGTGTGTAAAGATGATCTATATCTTTGGAACCCTGGAGCCGAGCCCTGGGCTTCCATGCTTAGTAGGAAGTTGACAAAGCTTCAGGTTGAGTGGGCTTCAGCAAAGACTGGCTACTTCTGTGCCTCATGGTGTGGGGGTAGAGGAGAAGGCTCTGACATGGAAGGCCGGGGTTCACATCTGGCCTCTGGAATAACAGATGTCCAAGGAAAGCTCTCGCTTGCACAGGATGGGCACAGCATGGCAGAAACCTCCTGGTTCTCATTGCAGGTTGGCAGCCTCGGTGGTTTCTTCTCTGTGGGGGGATATTATCTTATTATGACTCCCCCGAAGACGCGTGGAAGGGCTGCAAAGGAAGCATCCAAATGGCGGTCTGTGAAATTCAAGGTGAGGCGGTATCCCAGTAACCCACGGGAGCTGGCCGTGGTACCCGAGGAGTCCGTTGAAATGCTGGGCTCTGTTATTCTCTGCTGGTGCCTTTCTGGTGTAGGCTGAGGTGTGTGTTTATATACACTCACAGAATGAATTCTAGGCACTTAGCAGGACAAAGCAAACTTCTAACAGCACATATGTGTCTGTGTATTACACACATAATACAGGGATGTATTTGTGCTTTTATGTGCATACACACTATATATACATGGTGTGTGTGTGTGTGTATATATATATATATATATATATGGATATGTTGTGTAAATACACTATTGTTTATATGTGTGTGTGTGTGTGTGTGTGTGTGTGTGTGTGTATATATATATATATATATGTAAATATATACATATCTTATGTGTGTTTCCCACATTATTTAGGCTTTAATATTTGCTAAGCACTCTACATAGTTTGCTCATTTATCTATGAATATTAAAGGCATTTGGGTATCATAGAAGATTGAGCACTGGACCTTGGGCTCAAAGCCTGCCTCAGACACCTCCTAGTTGTGTGACCCTAGGGAAGCTTCTTATAAGCCTCAGTTTCCTCATCTGTAAAGGGGGATAATAATAGGATCTGCATCACTTGGCTATTTTGAGGATCAAATGAGTTTATATATATATATGTATATATATATAGGTCCTTTGCAAATCTTAAAGTGTTATATAAACTCTAGTAATCATTATAATGTGTGTATTTTTGTTTGTTTTTATTTTTGTTTTTGTTTTGGTGAAGCAATCAGGGTTATCTGACTTGCCCAGGGTCACACAGCTAGTAAGTGTCAAGTATCTGAGGCCAGTGCTCTATCTGCTGCGCCACCTGGCTACCACTAGTAATCATTATTATGACAAAGAATATCTCACTCTTGTCTCTTCTCCCCAACGCCCAGCACAGCGCCAAGCATATAGTAGACACTTAGCATCTACTTGTTGATTTGATTTTCACATATTAATTAAATTTACTAATTATATTATTCTATTAAATATCCTGTTCTAATTATTAATATTAGATATTCTAATAATAATATCAATAAATATTGTTGAAGGAATGAACCAAAAAAAACAGGAAAACCCTCATACCCACCCCCCCTCCCTCCCATCATATAGCTTGGCTTCAGCAACCTGGAACATGCCCAAATGTTTAAGGTTCCTGAGTACCTGAGAAATACTGAGGAGTCTGGGGAGTTGTTTGCCTCGTGAATGAGCCCTCAAGAACACCCCTGTTGGGGTTTGCTTCTCCTGGGAAGTAGAAAAGGAAACATAATTTGCTCATAGCTTTATTACCCACCCCACCCCACCCTCAGGTACTAATGCCAGTCCCCCAACAGATCATCAAAGAAATCCCCAAAATGGGCTTAAAGTGTTCCCCAGTGTCTCAGCTGACTGGTATCCTTGCTTTTGGCTTTAAGATATTTGCATGTGCATAGAGGAGACTGAAATCTAACCTTTGGATGAAGTGCCTATGAGGAAAATCCATTTTTTTTTCTTGGAGTCTCCTTCAGACCAGTTAATGATTTCCCTGTCTTTGGAAGCCAGCTCATTCAATCCAACAATCATTTATTAAGTGCATACTATGTGCAAGGTGTGGGGATGTAAAGAGAAAAGAATGAAATGGTCCTTGCCCTCAGGGAGCTTATGTTCTACTCTCACCTCCTCCTTTTAAGTCAGAGCAGGCGCCCACAGAAGAGAAACAAGATTATGTAGGTGGTAGAAATTGGAAAATGTCAAGTTCCATCTGGTGAACGTGTCCAGTGCCCCCACCCACCTCAACGAGGACTCCCCTCTAGAAGGCTCGCTGTAAGGCTGAGACAGGAGCAGGTTGAGTAAAGTGTCCTTTTCATCTTCTGACCTCAACCTCGTGGTTCCCAGTTCACTCCGCAGATAACACCCGGATGGATCTGATCATACCTGGGGAGCAGTACTTCTACCTGAAGGCCAGAAACGTGGCAGAGAGACAGCGGTGGCTGGTGGCCCTGGGCTCAGCCAAGGCTTGCCTCACGGACAGCAGGGCCCAGAAGGAGAAAGGCGAGTACCAGACGTGGGTGTTGCTGGGGTCTTGGACCTGCTTTCTTCTCATCTCTGTGTCCCCTGTTCACTCGTCATGTCTCTTAAATTAACCATGTAGCCCCAAGTTTATGGAGTGGGTGGGGGGGGCAGCCTTCGGTTTCATTTCAAACAGAGGGCTTTCCCGTCCTAGTTCTGACTTTGTGGGTTCCCAGGTGCTTCACTGGCAGCAGCGAAGTATTAAAAGACACCTTCAGCATGTTGGGGACACCCTTCATTATCAGTGCAGGCCCTCACGACTGATATCCCCATAGCCGGCTGACCGATGATCCTTCAGCACTCTGACGATGTCATCCCCCTGCTCACGAGGCCTCTCTGGCTCCCTGTCGCCCCCGAGGCATACTGTGAAATCCCCTGTGTGGCACTGGGTGCCCCTCACCGCCTGGCTCCAGCCCATCTCTCCAGATGGATTTCAGTTTTCTTCCCCTCACACACGCCGGGTTACGGCCAAAGCAGACATCTCATCTCCTGTCCCCGTGCCTTTGCGTAGGCTGTCTGCAGTGCCTGGCACGCGCTTCCTTCTCTCTCTCCACCTTCCGGAGCTGCTAGCTTCCTTCAGCACTTGGCTCAGAGACTACTTCTCCCCACCTCTCACCCCCACCCTGCCCCACTAATGACTGTTTTGTATCGACTAACTTGTGTATGTGTTGTATTCCCCACCTACAACAGACTGTAGGCGTCTTGAGGGTGAGAACTGTTTAGGTCTTTTTCTTTGTGTTCCTAGTCTGGCGCCTAGCATATAGCAGGCACTTCATAAATGCTTGCTCTTGGGGAAAGAATGGCATTTGTCAATAATGGGCCTCGGCCCGAGCACAGCGAGAGGGCGGAGTCAGCCCAGAAAGAGCCCATCATTAACCTTCCCCAGGACACGTTGGGCTAGCTCTCATTCCAGAGTGGAGTCTAGGTGGCTCGTGATGGTGGGAGGTCACTGAACGTCTTTCCCTGCGGTTCTCAAAGCATTTTTTGGGCATGTGAATGACAGTGTTCCCATTTTACAGGTAGGGAAGCTGAGGCTTGGGGTGGCTGAGTTAAGACCAGCACTTTGACTCTTCCTTACAATAAGCACAAGGCCATCCCCACTGCCTTCTTCTACATGATGACCATTGTCAGGCAGGCCCTACATTACTCTAGCTTAGACCTGGGATCAGATTTCCAAATAAATCAGTCAATAAGGTCTAGGTGGACAAAGGCTTGGAGCAATCTTTCTCTGTTCTCCTGACCTCCCTTGGAGGAGCTGGAGATCTTGACTGGAAGGGTCCTTGGAGGCCATCCAGCTCCCACATTTTACAGATGAGGAAACTGAGGCCCAATGACTTAGGACCTGGAAAGGGCCTCAGAGGCCACCCAGTCTAGCACCCACATTTTGCTGATGAGGAAACTGAGGCCCATGGAGGTCACGGAGGCACCAAGTGTCAGAAGCATAAGATCCAGCCACCATGAGGCTTTTCCACAGTCTTTCTCTTCCACCTGTAGCTGAGAGAAGCCACTCTGTGGTCAGAGCCTTGAGAACTTGGCTTTATGTGCTTATTCATTCATTGATTTAGAAGCATTTTAGATCAGGTATTCTTATCTGTTCTGTGTCCCAGCCTCCATGGTCAGGCTGGTGAAGCCCCTGCTCAGAATAGTGTTTTTAAATGCATAAAATGAAATATGCAGGAGCACAAAAGGAACCCCTCTTACTGAAATTCTGTGTCCAGATACTAAAGAAGCAAGTTCACTGGCCTTGGGTTAAGAGCCTTGTTGTAGGGGCTTGGCCTTGGCCATGAATTGCCTCCTTGTCTGACCTTGGCTCGACCCGTTACTCCTTCCTCAGACTCATGGCTGCTTCTTCTTCCCATTAGAGTTCACTGAAAACACGGAGACCTTGAAAACCAAGATGTCGGAGCTCAGGCTGTACTGTGACCTCCTCGTGCAGCAGGTGAACAGAACAAAAGAAGCCACAGCGGCCAGCGTGGGGGACGTGAAGGTAGGATGACCTCACTGGCCGCTGGGAGGGAGGCGCGTCCCCTCAGAATGATGCCGCTAACCAGCCAGGACGGAAGGTGTAGCCACCCCTTCCCTGTGTATGGCAGATCTCAGCCTCCCTCTGAGTGAGCTGGGGCAGGGGGTGGCCCTGTCTTCCAGGGAAGAAGGCGGAGGCGAGGTTTGAATGATGTAACCAGTAGTAACAATGGTATATTACGTATTCTCGGTATTGTTATTAATATATAGTTATATGTGTTTATTAGTGTATAACATTTATTAACCCATGGTAATTATTATATAATTATTAACATAATTGTGTTGTTAATATAGTAGTAGAACACAATTATTATAATAACTAGTGTTTACTTAGTGTCTACCATGTGCTGGACACTGTCTATACAGAGCATAGATTGTTAACAAGAGCAAACCGACCTCTGACCTACGGGTGGCTGGAGCCACACAGAGCAGGCCAGAGACAGGAGAGTCAGGAAGCAAACCGAAGTTTAATTTCAAAGCGAGGGGAATGGCTTACAAGCAAAGACACCTGTGCCGGAGCCCTGCGTCTAGTGGGGGGACCCGAGGCAGTGTGGGGAGATCTCTATACTTATACCTAGGGTTGCGCAGTGAGCTATAGCCCTGACAATGAGAGGTAACAGCAACAGTGAGGCAAGCCTGATTCGTAGCAGGGCTTCATGACTAGAACTTGTCTGAGCTCAGAGAACACTCGATGCTGGTCAAAGCAATACAATAATTCCATGATTTTTCTGGAGGATGAGATCACGAAGAGGGTGAGCGCAAAGGATTGTTGTGACGCCAAGCTCAGGGCACAGCTTGCCTGCTGGGCCTTAGCTCTGGAAAACAGGGTGTCTCCTAATATCTTGACAAGATAATTAATAAATGTACAGATAAAACATTGATTAGCCATTTTGTATGTGCCAGGTCACTTGTGGTCCACGTGAAATATGAACCAGGGCCTTATTTAATTCCCTGCCATCAAGGGGCTAACCCTTTAAAGAGGGAGAGGAAATATGATGGCCAAGGGAAAGAAAACTGGACTTAAGAGTCAGGAAGACCTGAGTTCAAATGTTGCCTTGGACACTTACTCAGTGTGTGATCCTGGGAAAGTCTTGGGCTTCCGTTTCATTTGTAAAATGAGAATTGGGCTGAAAGGCATCTGAGGTCCCTTCCAGCCCTGGTCCTGTGATCCCATCGAGAACAGGCACCGAACGTGTTAAAAACAGTCTTTCAGTGTGAGGGAGAAGTTTAAGAAGAGTGGGGAGAGGGTAAGGATTGTGAGAGCAGAAGCAAAGATCGGAGAGGACTGACCCGTCAAGGAAAATTGGGGTTTTGACTCAAGAATTGATCCATTAAAGGGTCTGCCACTTTCCCCTCACTTTTTCTCCTTGAGGAGCCTCACCGGCTTTGCCAAAGACTTTGCTCACACTCTTTGTCGCTGTGTTTTGCCTTTAAAATTCCCTGCTCACACTGAATCCTGATTAACACAACCAGACCAGCCGTTGTCACAGGCTCTTTCTGGGAAGAGATCAGCCCTGCCATGTAGGTGATACAGCCCTCGTCGTCACTTTTTTACGTCTGAGGGGATCACACTGTTCTGTTTCACTGATCACATTGCCATTCATTCTAAGAGCGTTTACTAGTGTCCCTTTGTTTTTATACGTGATGCAGGTGCTGGACGGGGAATAACATTCAGGCATCTCTTGTTCTGGCTTTTTTTGGCCTGCCTTTCTGCCCACGCTAATTTCACACACCTTGCCTTCGTGCACCCTCTAGGCAAGCCAAATTGACTTGCCTGGATGGGGCGTCCAGTCTCTTACCACCAAGCCTTTGCCTAGGCTGTGGCCCCTTCTGGGAATGCCCTCCCCCACCTCCCCTTAGAATCAGCTCCTTCGGCTCCCTGCACGAGGTTTGTATTGTTAGTACTTGCTTCTCTTCCCTTCTGCTTCGGCCCCTCCTCCCAGTGGATGGGAGCGAGAGGGCAGGAGCTGTTTTCTGTGTCTTGTAGCTTCGGTGCCTCCAGTGGGGCCTTCGCTTAGTAGGTGTTTCATAAATGTTTGTTGGGTTGGAATTTCAGTTCACAGACTCACAGATTTAGGGCTAGAAGGGACTTCAGAGGCATCTGGGGCCCCTGACTCTAAGGATGAGGAAAGAGACCAAAGGAGGCCCAAGGTCACCCAGGTCTAAAGGGACTAGAGCAGGATTTGAACCCAGGTCCTCAGACTCAGGAGCCCACTTCTTTCCGTGGTCCCATGAGCACTCGAGGCATGTAACCTAGGATGGATGACAGACAGTAGTGGAGACAGAACAACACCTGTGAAAGCCTCCAACGTGACGTCAGTGTGCCATCCTTCGTAGAGGGCAGCATGTGACGAGGGACTGTGTACTCAGCCTCACTCAGTTCCGTTTGGGCTCAGTGGCAGGTGCTGAATCCTCTGGCTCGGCAGGGGCGAGGGGGAGCCCGGAGAACTCAGAGCATGGCCTTGGCCTCATTAGCACAAGCCTCTCGTCCATCATGGGCCAGAAGTGGCCGGACAAGTCGCTTAATGTAAACGTTAAGACACAGCATTCGTCGGGGTAAATGGATAGGGTGCATTGTGCCGGGTTCGTGACCACATCGGCGCGAAGGGCAAAAACCCCATTTGGAAAAAGATAATGTGATGCAAGTGGTTTTTAAAGGCGTTAGGAAAATCTGGAAAGGAGAAGTCCAGAGGATGGGGGTCCTTCCCATCCCACGAGCCAGCCGGCGACCCTGGGAAGGAGACTTTCCTTCCTCCTCCCACTCAATCTTCCTGCCTGCTCTCTATGAATTAGCGCCAGTGTCCCCCATCTCCACCTTGTTTGTACTGTTGTGACTGTGAGCTCCTGAGAGCAGAGCCTGTCTTTAGCCTTTCTTTGTATCTGCAGCAGGGAGGAAGGAAGAAAGGAGGGAGGGAGGGAGGAAGGAAAAGAGAAGGAAGGGAGGGAGGGAGGAAAGAGGGAAAGAAGAAGGAAAGGAGGAAGAAGAGAGGGAGGGAGGAAAGAAAGGAGGGAACGAGACAAAGGAAGAGGGAGGGAGGATTTATTAAGCACCCATTGTGCTAAGCACTGTACAGATAGCTCATTTCACAGCAACCCTGGGAGGTAGATGTTATTTTCATCTGCATTTTACATTTGAGTAAACTGAGGCAGACCGAGGTTAAGTGACTTGCCTGGGGGTCACACAGCTACTGAGTGTCTGAGGCTGGATTTGAACTCACTTCTTCCTGACTCCAGCACCACTGCCCTGTCCACTGCGCCACCTAGCTGCCTCTCTTAGCTTATAGTAGGTGCCTGGCATATAGTAGGTGCTTAATAAATGCTTGTTGACTGACTGATCTCAGTTTCCTCACCTGTAAAATGAGGGATTTGGCCTGGAAGACCTCCAAGGTCCGTCCCAGCTCTAAATCAGTGACGCGTAATGCCTCTCAGTTTCCATCATGAGCCAAGTTCCCTCCTTAAGTCTGCCAGCCCTCGAACCCCCTGCAGTTGCTGCAGGCTCCGTCCTGGTTTGTGGGTGTATTAGAGGTCACGACTTAACAGACTTGTATGTGATTGACTGACAGCTCTGACTGAGCCATTCTTACGTTTCCATGGTCAGACAGTGTGGCGTCACCCAACAAAGTGGCGGCCTCTGCCTGTCTGCCCTCCGTCTCACGGTCAGCACCAGACTGTCCAGCTTGGCAGAGTAAAGGTGTCTCCCTCTCTGGTTCTTCCCTAGGAGGGGATCGACGTGGGCACTCTGCTGAAGTCAACCTGCAACACTTTTCTGAAGACACTGGAAGAATGTATGCAGGTTGCGAATGCGGCCTTCACATCAGAGCTGCTGTACCGGACCCCCCCGGGCTCCCCCCAGCTGGCGGTGCTCAAGCCCAGTAAGGTGAGGCGACACCGTTGGCGGGAGGGGGCTCACCTCTACTGGCTGCAGTGGGTGAGGAGAGTACACCGGACTTAGTTTGAAGTGGTGTTTTGAGGGTGGGTCCCCAGCACCCTTTGTAGGGAGAGGCTGAGCAGGCTTTCCTTTCCAGTCTTTTTACGTTTGCCTCCGCTCCCTCACACTAGGATAAGGCTCACTAGCCGATTTGCTATTTCTCCCACATGGCAGTCCATCTCCTGCCTCCATGTCTTTGTCTTGGCTGTGCCCTATGCCAGGAATGCCTTCCATCGCAGCCTCAGCTTTCTTCAAGGCCGCTGTAGTCACACCATCTGTGAGGGGTCTTCCCCAGTCCCCCCAGTGCTAGTCCTGTTCCTCTGAGATTATTTCCCATTTACAGTGTGTGTGTGTTGGATGTACATAATGATTTGAATGTTGTCTCCCCCTCAGGATGGGAGCTCTTTGAGGACAGACACTGTGTTTTTGTCTTTCTTTATATCCCCCGCCTGTAGCACAGCTCTGGCCGCATAGTAAGGGCTTGGTAAATGCTTATTGACCGGCTAACTTTGAGTTTTCCTCTTTAGGAGCCCCTCATTTAAATTGGGCACATTTTAGGACTCAGTCTCTGAATTGGAAGAGACATCAGAGGCCTCTGGTCCAGTGACCAAGATGCCTGACAGGCAGCCTGCAACCCCTGCCCAAAGCCTTAGGATGAGGGGCTGCCTCCCAAGGCCCCACTTGGGAGCCCTTCTGATTGGGAAGATATTTGAAACTGGGTCCGACACTGTTGGGATGGGATGGTTCAGTTGCCCAAAGGACCGCCCTCCTGTCCTCTTCCTCTTTTGGTGCCCCAGACCCCTCAGCAGCCCTCCAAGGAAGCCTGCGGACTCCTCAGAATCATGGTTTTTAATGCCCAAAATAGAATATGTAGAATTACCAAGGTGGCCAATTACATGGAGATACAATTTTCAGAATATTAAAAAAAAACCCCAAGTCTATGGACAGATCCCATGTTGAGGAACCTGTCCTGAGATGTCCTATTTGGAAAAATGACAGCTGGGGCTGGTGGCTTCTGTGACCCCCTGAGATTGCCGAGTGGGCGTCATTCTGGCCTTCCATGCTGGCCAGAGTTATGGGGCTACTGTGTTGCAAGTTGTTTGTGTGAACATTTTTTGTTTCTTCTTTTAAAGACGAAACTTCCCATCATGCCGATTCACAGTGCTCTGGAAAGGTACAGTTCTCTTTCTTTCTTTCTTTGTTGATAATAACATGAGCTGGTTACTGTTTTAATCTGTCTAGGATACGCATGACTCTGCCAGACAAAAGTTCACTTTTCAGTGAGCTTAGAACAGGGTCGCTCCCTCCTGCACCCTCTGCGCTGGTCGTTAGATTTCTCTCTGCATCTCCTTTGTGGGCAGCCTCTCGCCCACTGTGACTTTATTCCAGCAACTTTATTTCCCTCTGGTCCCATAGGGCTGTATATAGATTAGAACTTCTCCCTTGAAAAGAAATTTTAAAAAAAAAGCTTTTTTCCTTGAAGAGTTAACAATTAATTCCTGCCTACATTGGTCATAAGAAGATGCTATGAGTATGTTTATGAATTTAATTTGATAGGACAGAAGAAAAGAATCTAGACTTTTACAGAACCCTAGATTCTCTCCTGATTTGGGGTACTCTTATACATAGTTGAGGTGACGGGTACAGTGTAGTAGAAAGAATTCTGGGTTTGGATTCTGAGGATTTGGGTTTAATCCTGCTTCTGACAGATACTGTGTGACCCTGGTAAAGTCACTTAACCTCTGATGTGCGGTACAGTGTAGAATTCATATCAGATGGCTTGCCTTTTCAATGAGGACAGAGGGAGAGAATTTAGAACTCAAAATTTTTAAAAATGGATGTTAAAAATTGTTTTTACATGTAATTGGGGGGATATTAAATACTAAATAAATAATTAAAAATGAAACATAACTTCAGAAAACTAAAAATAAAATACAGTACTGTCCATAGATCTCTCAGACCGTCGGTTGGAAGGAAGGTGCTGACCTACGCTGACAGAGACTTTCTCTGCTGGGGGTTCCGTCTCTCAGTGCAGTCTTAAGTCCTGCCCTCAACCTGTCATCCACACAAACATTTCCGTGTGTTCATGTCATCTGCATATTTAATAGCACATTCCTATCTGGGACCTGAGAGGCAACTCTTCCTTTTATAAGAAAGGAAGCCGAGGCCCGGGGCAGTGAATCGCCTTTTCTGGGGTCGCACCGGTAGCAAGGCTCCAGACGGGATTGTGGGGCTAGGGGCTCTTCCATTAGACTTCCTTCCCAAGAATGGAATGGGACTGGCTTAGGGGGAAGTGAGGCCCAGTGGGAGAGGTGAGAGTTGGAAGGCAAACCGTTGCTAATTAATGTCTCTTTTCCTTGGGGGCTGGTCTGGAAAAGCTGTGAACAGCTCCAGGCCCCGTGCAGCTGGGACACAGCCCCCTCCCCTGTTTTATGTGGCATGGGAGATGCAGACATTGCCTGCCCCGGGAGGGGGACGTGGGGGGCACTAAAGAGGGCTCTTCCCAGGCGTCTTAGTCTTGTCCATCTTCATGATGGAATCCCAGAGAGCTTGGTCGGAGCACTTGGGGACTTTCTGAGCAAGTCCAGGGAAATATAAACTCCCTGAGGGCTAGGCCTGGTTTTATTCTGTCTGGGGGGGGGTGGGTCTAGTCCTTAGCCGGCACTGAAATGCCTCAAGAAGCCTTTCCTGAACCCTGACCTTAAATGCCAGGGCCTTCCTCTGAGGGGGCCCTTGGTTACCCTCGGCATTATTACCCCACAAGCTCCATGAGAGCACGGACCCGTTCCTTGTATCCTCATTGCTTAGCATAGTGCCTGGCACACAGTGGATGTTTAATAAATGCTTGTTGACTTGACTTGTGGGATTGGGTGATGGTGGGCATCTAGCATGTATTCATCACTTCTTATGTGCCAGGCACTGCATTCAGTGCCGGGCACACAGGCCCACAGCGGGCCCTGCCCTTAAGAAGTTTACTTTCTGGGCAGAGTGAAAGCAGTGACTTGCTTGAGCTCTCCTCCAAACCCCTCCAAATACTCATAAAAAATGACTCTTAACAAATTCTGAAGCAGCAGAACCCACAAAAAGACAGAGTGAAACAAATTTCCAGCCCAAGACAACCTGGATGATTGATCAGAAAGGTGTATTGCACCGGGCTGGGAGTGCAGTGCAGCGTGGGCGCGCAGGCCGCAGGGAACCTGGAGCAGGCCTCAGAGGACTGAATCATGGGCAGCTGTGGAGGTGTCCAGACTTCTCAATCCACCAATGCCAAAGACAACTTAGAAGGTCAGTGGGAAAAATCTGTTTTTTTCCATGAGAGAAGAGCTAGGTCACAGCCAGTTCCAGAATGCAGAGCGCGGGTGCCGGGGGCGGTGGCTGTGTCCTGAGCTTCAGGCCCACAGACTGAGGGGGAATCCAGTGGCTGATCAGAGAGGGATCACAGGGATCTCTTTGCCAGTACTGAGGCAGGAATCTCTTGCTTTGCCTGTGTTTGGATCTGGGCCACAGTTCTGGGCAGCGGTGCTGGGATGAGGAGGAGCGCTGGCATGGTGGAGCTTGTAGTGGCTGTGGAGAGGAACCCCTCCTCACAGTTACAGGACAGAAAGGAGTACTTGTAGTCACAGGCCAGGAAAGGAGTAAACACCTCGCCCCTTATCATACCACTTTGGAAGAACTAAAAATTTACAGGTTCTTACAAGTATCTCTGAAAACAGCTATACAAACCCCTGAAGCTTGGGACAGTACATTCTCCACATTGGAAGCAGACTCTTACCTTAACAAAGAGTTTAAAACTCAAGTAATTGGCTGGGATCATGAGCAAGCAGTGCAAAAAGAGTCAGACATATTAATCTTACTTTGGTGAAAAAAGAAGATCAATACAACCAGAAGACAACAAAGTCAAAGCTCCTACATCCAAAGCCTCCAAGAAAAATATGAATCAGTCCCAGGCCTTGGAAGAGCTCAAAAGGATTTTGAGAAGCAAGTAAGGAAGTAGAGGAAAAACTGGGAAGAGAAATGAGAGTGATGCAAGAAAATCATGAAAACAAGTCAGCTTGCTAAAGGAGACCCAAAAAAATACTGAAGAAAATAACACCTTAAAAAATAGCCTAACCCAAATGGCAAAAGAGGTCCAAAAAGCCAATGAGGAGAAGAATGCCCTAAAAAGCAAAATTGGCCAAATGGAAAAGGAAGTCCAAAAGATTACTGAAGAAAATACTTCCTTAAAAATTAGAATAGAGCAATTGGAAGATAGTGACTTTATAAGAAATCACGACACAGTGGAACAAATCCAAAAGAATGAAAAATTAGGAAACAATGTGAAATATCTCATTGGAAAAACAACTGACCTGGAAAATAGATCCAGGAGAGAGAATTTAAAAATTATTGGACTATCTGAAAGCCATGATCAAAAAAAGAGCCTAGACATCATCTTTCAAGAAATTATCAAGGAAAACTGCCCTGATATTTAGAACCAGAGGGCAAAATAGAAATTGAAAGAATCCACAGATCTCCTCCTGAAAGAGATCCCCAAAGGAAAACTCCTAGGAATATTGTAGCCAAATTCCAGAGTTCCCAGGTCAAGGAGAAAATATTACAAGCTGCCAGAAGGAAACAATTCAAGTACTGTGGAAACACAATCAGGATAACACAAGATTTAGCAGCTTCTACATTAAAGGACCGCAGGGCATCGAATATAATATTCCAGAGGGCAAAGGAGATAGGATTACAACCAAGAATCACCTACCCAGCAAAACTGAGTATAATCCTTCAGGGGGAAAAATGGTCATTCAGTGAAATAGAGGACTTTCAAGCATTCTTGATGAAAAGACCAGAGCTGAATAGAAAATTTGACTTTCAAATACAGGACTCAAGTGGAACATGAAGAGGTAAACAGGAAAGAGAAATCATAAGAGACTTATTAAGATTGAACTGTTTACATTCCTGCATGGAAAGATGATATTTATAACTCATGAGACCTTTGTCAGTATTAGGGTAGTTGGAGGAAAAAAATTATATGTATATGTATGTAGATAGATAGAAGATTAAGGGGTCATATCTGGAGAATAAAATTAAGGGATGAGAGAGGATTATACTCGGAGAAGAAGAAAGGGAGAAGTAGAATGGGGTAAATTATCTCACAAATAAAAAAACAGAAAAGAAAAGTCTCTTAGAGTGGAGGGGAAAGAGGGGAAGGTGAGAGGGAATGAGTGAATCTTATTCTCATAGGATTTCTTAAGGAATAACATACACATTCAATTGGGTATGGAAATCTGTCTTACCCTACAGGAAAATAGGAGGAGAAGGGGACAAGAGAGCAGGGGGATGATAGAGAGGAGGGCAGATTGGGAAGGGGGGTAATCAGAAGTAAGTACTTCTGAGGAGGGACAGGGTCAAAAGAAAGAATAGAATAAATGGGAGGGCAGGATAGGATTAAGGGAAATAGAGTTAGTTTTTCACAACATGTCTACTCACATGCTACTGGGAAATAAGAAATACAGGAAATGGGGTACAGAAGTCTATCCTGCCCTACAGGAAAATAGAAGGGGAAGGGGATAAGAGAAGGGGAGAGAGAGAAGAGAGGACAGACTAGGGGAAGGGATATTCAGAATGCATGCCATCTTGGGGTGGGGGGAGGGGGGATGTCACCCACAACCAGATTGTACACCGAATGGAGAGGCGTGAAATAACTTATGACATGGGCCAGGCGGAGTAGAATTACTGACCCAGTTTATAGGGAAGATCTAGACTAACTTCAGAGAGTCCTCCCCGTGAGATACTCCCCAGAACATCTGCTGAGGATGTGACAATCATGAATTTACTCCTTATCAGGATTCCCAGATTGGGCTGTAGATTCCAAGGTTTTCCCAGGCGCCTTGGCACCACCTGCATAGAGGAGTGAATATGTAAATCTAAGGTTCAAAGAGAGAGAAGGAATGTCTCAGAGACCTCTTAATCAGGAAGGAATTGGGGAGCCATACCACTTAATCAGCGAGCCCTTTTGGGTAAAAGCCTGGGCAGAGATCAAACTCTGCCTTGTATCTTAAACCCTTATCAGACTCTTAAGATCGGCCCTCAACAAGGGGAGATGGAGCAAAAATTTGGAACTCAAAAACTTGTGGAAGTGAATGTTGAAAACTAAAAATAAATACATTTATATTAAAAAAGAAAAAAGAAAAAGAAAAGTCTTTTCTATCGTTGTACCCGTGTGCACATGCCACTAGGGTGTGGTGTGCCTGCTTCTCTCAAGAAGTGTAATAAAGGCTTTCCTTCTCTCAAAAAAAAAAAAGTTTACTTTCTAATGAGAGACACAGCCATGTTCTGAGTCCCAGGCCTGATTCTACGGTGTTGTTTTTGTGATGTTCCCTGAGCCTCGATTCTCTCATCCCCCTGAGTGAGGAGAAGGGGGAGAACAGAGAAGCTCGGGCCTTCAGTGGTCCCACTGTCCTCTGGAGCCCCCGGGCCCTCACTTCCAATGGGGAGTGACAATTCCTTCCTCATCTGCTTGTGAGGATCTACCCCTGGGCTGGGGTGGGAAGGCCTTTTGTAAACTATGACAGCTCTGTGGCTCTGTTGTTATTCTCTTTGTGACCAAGTAACGGCGTTGTTGTTTGGTTTGGGGGTTTTTTTAGGCAGATAGAATTGAACAGCTGTGAAAATGGGTCCTTAAATACGGAAACGAGCAATTCCGAAGAAACCCTAATTAAAAGCAAGATCCCTTTATGTACGAAGCCTACCGAGAAGGGGAACCGCTCGTCAACTGAAGAGCATGCAGAAGATCATTTAATAGGTAAAAATAGGAAAAGTAATAGGTAAAAATTAAAAATAAAGTAAAGATGGGTATTTAATAGGTAAAAATAAAGAGGACATGAAGTGGTGCGCCTCCCTCCTTTCTTTGGAGTGGTGGGAGACTATGGGTGCAGAATTTGGTGCACAAGACCCAAGCATCCATTTCTCTTTCTTTGTCATGACAGAAGGCCTTAGTTTCCTCATGCCTACAGTAGGGTTTGGGGGTAGACCGGATGACTTCTGGGGTCCTTCGAGCTGCAGTTTCGTGATCCTATGATTCCGTGTTCTCTAATACCAGGCCCCAACATTGGTGTGGCCGTAGATTTCTGGTTACCACAGCTTCATTGGGCAGGTGAAAGAAAGGTCACCACATACCAAAGTCCATGCTTTGGAGGGCTCGCTGTTGTACACAGTGGGTGCTTTCGTCCATTCATGCTGAACTGTTATTGTGGTTTTTTTAAAAAATGGTTTCCCTCTTTACCTTCCCCAAAGTAGCTTTGTTTTATTAAAAACCTCCCTTTTACAAATAGATCTGAAATGCAACGCTTTGAGATCTTAGTTGTCATTAAAAAAAAAAAAGCAAACCTGGCCTGAATGTCCCATCTTCACAAGCTCTGTCACTGATTACAGAAGCAAGAAACAAGAGGGGCACTGGTGTGTTTACTTGATAAATTGTGTTTTTATATCACTTTGGTTTCCTCCATATCCATCCCCAACCCTTTCTTCTAGAGAATTTTTAAAAAGGAAAAGAAAAAACACATTCTTCAAAACTGTTGGACCCTTGATGCACATCTGTGCACTCCCCACACCTCCCCACGGCCTCCTTAAAAAGGCATAGCCTTTTTCTGGCCTTGGGGAAGGAGCAGTCATGGTTGATGGTTATGTTCTTCTCCTTTGAAGTCCAGAGTGATGGAATCAAGGATGATGGAGAAAGAGACGTGGAAGCGCCTCCTGAGAGTGACGTGGAGCCCCCATGGGAGCATCCCAGGGGCATGAATCCTGTAAGTGAATCTCCTGGGGCACCACTGGAAGAGGAAAAGGAGTTGGTCCAGACTTTCTTCAGTGCCATGAATACAAGGTATTATCCCATGCCACGTCTGTCATGTTAGCGGGAGCCCCGTGCCAGGCTGCTTTTCCCATAAGCAGGGGTGTGGGTGGATGGATTTTGCAGTTTATAACCACAAGAGAATCTTGCTGGAAGAATAAAGATAACGACACTTGGATTTTGAGAATGGAAGCTGTTTATATCCTCAGAAGAAAGCTTAACCCTTCTTTCATACTAGTCTTTTGGAAGCCACTTTTTCTCTGGTTATAGGCCAATCCTTAATCTTAAGAAAGGGAGGGACAATGGAGAAATCAGGATTTTTTTAATCTGTGTCTCCATCAGAAAGGTGATGAGCTGAGTTCAAATCTGGTCTCAAACACACCACACTTACTAGCTGTGTGACCCTGGGCAAGCCACTTAACCCCGATTGCCTAGCAAAAAGTAAAAAAAAAAAAAGGATACTAAGATCTTTAGTTAACAGATGGAAATATGAATTTATCATTTATCAAGCACTTACTATGCTACAGAAGCACCTGTATTTTGTTGCGAGGAAACAAGATATGCATGGAAGATTAAGTACAGAATAGATGTGCACAGTGATTTCTGGAAGGTACGGCCCAGGTCTACAAAGGGTGGCTTGTTAATAATGGGGCAAGCACTCCGGAGGGCACGGCAGAACAGAATGCAGCCTCCTTGCATGGAGGGACTGCTTCATCGTTTCTGTCTCTGCAGCACCTCACACGGGTGCCTGGCACAGAGCAGGCCCTCGGTAAATGCTTGTGGATTGGATAATAGGTGAACCTTACAGCACCAGGTAGACTAGTATCGTTATTGTTATCTGGGTTTTCATTTCTCCCTCCTCCCTCTGTTACGTGCATGCTCAGCTTTAGCGACATTGAACTCCTGGAAGACAGCGGCATCCCCACCGAAGCATTCCTGGAGTCGTGCTACGCCATAGTTCCGGTTCTCGGTAAGACGGGCAGGTCGGCCTTTTATTTCTCAGCCGAGTGTCTGGCTGAGGTCTGTGCCCAGGGGAGATGGTCTGCTGTGCTCCCCTGGCCACCGCTTCACCCATAGCCCTGCAGACCTAAGTCACGGGGCCCTTCCTTTGTCATCAGTGGCTCTGCTGAAAAAGCGGCTTCTTCATGAAGAAACAAAGTAATGGTCTCCAAGCTGAGTCCTGAGGCCTGCGGTCTGGTGGGGGGCTGGGAAGAGAGATCGAGCCCTCAGAGAGTGCCCCAGGGCTAACGTGCAGGGGCACACAGAGCTTGGAGGTGGTTTGGTTTGGTTTAATTTTTGATCCTGAAAAGAGAAACAAAATTGCAGCGAAGGTCAGCCTTTGTCAGTTGGGTGGAGCACTGGTGAATCTCAGATTTCATCGGCAAGAGCACGTCGTCCCCCTCTGGGGTCACAGCCCTCAGTGGCGTCTCATCTCCCTTTTCCCACCAGGGCCCGCAGAGCTGGGGTCCACGGCCCCGCGGGTGGATGGATAAGTGTGCATTAGGATGCATGCGCTTTCCTTTGGAATCCTCTGTGTTTCACTGCATGCCTCCCAGACGGTCTCTGAGAAGGTCTCTATAAGCTTCATGAGGCTGCCAAAGGGAAGGGGGAAGAGACACAAGCATTTGTTAAGCACCTGCTGTGTGCCGGGCACTGTGCTAAGCAGTGGGGGTAGAAGAAGAGGCAGGTGACTGTTCTGCCGTCGAGGAGCTTGCAGTCTGAAGGGGGGCCAGACAGACATAGACCGAGTAAGCTGTCCGCAGGGTAAATAGCAAGTAATCAAGCACGAGCTTTAGGAGGGGCTGGGGTGGGAGGTCAGTGGTCAGAGCAGAGGAGGGGGAGCCCTCCAGGCCTGGGGGATGGGTGGCCAGAGGAAACACCCGGAGCCAAGAGATGGAGGGCCTTGTTCATGGAGTGGGAGGCCACTGTGACTGGGTCAGAGGGAGCGCGTTGGGGAAGGAAGGGTAAGAAGACAGGAAAGGGGGAGGGGGCGCCTGGTGCAGCCCAGGCCTTGGGGAAATTACCTTGGTGGCTGGATGGAAGAGGAGCCAGAGTGGTGAGAGACTGGGGCCGGCAGAGCCCGGCAGCCATTGCAGTGGTCCTGGTGGGAGCTGAGGGGGGTGATGCCAGAGCACAGAGGTGAAGAACTCCAGGAAGGCCCCTTATTGGCTGTGAAGTCAGAGTTTAAAGGCATCATCTCACCCTTACCTGTGCAACCCTGGGCAAGGCACCGCCTCTCTCTGCTCCTCAGTTTCCTCATCTGTAAAATGAGGGTGTTGAACCAGATGACCCCTGAGGTCCTGTCCATCTCTAAATCTGGGATCCTGTGAAATCTGGTCGGAACAAAAAACCCTGAATCTTCCATGCCTTGTATCACATCCGCCTGTTTACATCTTGCTGTCCTCATCCTTTCCACTTCCTGTCCCTCCTCTGAGGTAAGACGACGCTTTTCATCTTTATCTCCAGAGCCTCATACAGGACCTTATACAGAGTACGAATCTGGCAGACGTTTATGGCTTGTTTGCAGTAGGTGCTCAATAAGTCTTCATTAGACTGTGATGAGCTTGGACTGGGTATCTCATGGATGCTGGTGTTGTCACTATGTGACCTACCCAAAGGAAATGAGAATTAAAGGATATGCAGTTCTTGGGGGGAAATCATTCATTGATTTAACCAGCATTTATTAAGTACCTACTGCATGCCAATCAATGTTTTAGGCCCTAATGATGATACAAAGACAAAAGAGGAAAAAAGGTCTCTGGCCTCAAGGACCTTACATTCTCTCACACGGAGAAGGAGACAGCTTGGAGATGGATAATTAAGTTAGGACAAAGACAAACAAAGCACGTAGGGTAGGAGGTGCATTAATGACACAGGACATCCCCTTCTCGTTGGCAAATACTGTGGGCTATGTTTTTGCTCGTCTTCCTCGCTCCAGATTTGAGAGCCGTCTTCCAAGTGACTTCCAGGATGTTTAAAGGAAGGTTACCTTGATGGGAAAATCTGGGTAGGGGGGCCTAGAGACCCTCTGTGCCTCTTCAGGTTTAGTGCTTTTGGTTCTACCAGGAAACTGACTTCAGGATCACGTAATTAGTTGGGGCAAAGTCCTAGGATCCCAGCTCTAGGGCCGGAAGGCCAGTTGGAAACTGAGGCCCAGGGAGATGAGGTGGACTGTCTGAGGTCACCTGGCAGCATCAGAGTCAGGATTTGAATCCAGGACCTGTGATTCCAGTACTCTTTCCCCTTGACCCCCCTGCCTCCTTCAGAATCACTGACCAGTCAGCAGGTGCATGTTCTTTCTTAGAGTGGAATGTCAGCCCCTTGAGGGCAGGACCCTACATGTCTTTGCATCCTCAGCCCTCTGGACACCCCAGCAGCTTGTGGAGCGGGGTGGCTTGAAAATGCCCCTGACTAATTCAGAAGGAAAAAAATAACACATTTCCCCTCTCTCCTTCTAGATAAACTTGGCCCGACAGTCTTTGCTCCTGTTAAAATGGACCTTGTTGGAAATATTAAGGTAAGTGTGATTGTCCCTCCATACCCGTCGTTTTAAATAAAGGACAAAGAGCCCAGGGCCAGGGGCTCTGACTGTGGCTGAGTCACTAACCGGCTGTGTGACTCCAGGCAGATCACTTGCCCTCTCTGGGCCTAGATCCCTTGTCTTTAAGAAGTGGGACCAAAGGGGCTCACAGGTTTCCTTCCTGTTTTAACATTTTGTGATTGTGATTAAAAAAGCAAAGTCGGGGGGCAGCTAGGTGGCGCAGTGGATAGAGCAGCGGCCCTGGAGTTGGGAGGACCTGAGTTCAAATGTGGCCTCAGACGCTGGACACTTAACTCCATTGCCTAGCCAAAATAAATAGATCAATCAGCTCAGAAGTATGCAGTGGTACCTAAGAAAATGACATCTCCTATAGTGAAGGGGTGGAAGAGTGTCTGTATTTCATGTCTGCAAGTCCCACACATCCCACACCAGGTAGGTGTTCAGCAGCTAAGCCTTCATGTGTGCCCGATGTGCAGGGGAATGGCTGCTTCCTCATGTGGCTTTCTTGCCTGTGTGTTGCTTTTTATCCACCCCAGCATGTCATCTCAAGCCTCTGTACCTTTGTACAAGCCGTGCCTGGTACCTGGAGTGCACTCCTTCCTTATTTCCGACTTTTTTTTTTTTTAAGGCAATTGGGGTTAAGTGACTTGCCCAGGGTCACACAGCTAGTAAGTGTCAAGTGTTTGGTCTGAGGCCGGATTTGAACCCAGGTCCTCCTGACTTCAGAGCTGGTGCTCTATCCACTGCACCACCTAGCTGCCCTTCTTCTGCCTTTTATAATCTTAGTTTCCTTTAAGACTCTTCTTGGAAGCATTTCTTCATCTCCTACTTAAGAATGATCTCTCCCTTTCACAATGACTTTGTATTGACTAACTTACATGTATTCATGTCATATCATCCAGTAGATTGGAAGCCCCTTGAGGGTAAGAGCCTTTTTAAAATTTTTGGTCTTTCTGTCCCCAGTACAGTGTCTGTCTCCTGACAGGTGTTTAATTGACCCAGATCTGTAATCTTGTCATCCAAAATGACCCCTCCCCCATTTGACAGAGGAGGAAACTGAGTCCCAGAGCAGAGAAGCGTCTTGCCCAAGATTACACTTGCCAGTGAGTGTATTGAGTCCAAAGTCACCACGAGGGCTTGGGCTGTCTTTCATCTTTGTTTTTGTGTCCACAGTGCTTGGCATACAGAAGGCACTTAATATATGTGTATGGCCTAGATATCACCTGGAGTTTTTCCCTTTTCACATCCAGAAGTGAATCCATGAGATTCTACTCCAGGCCCCACTGATGCTGCCCAGTTAGTGTCTGCACAGTGAATTAGGGCACTGTCCCTCAGGGAGCGCACAGAGACCCAGGCCTTCCAGCTGCTTCTTCCATTAACCAGCTGTGTGACCTTGAGTAAGTTACTGGACCTCTCTGGGCTTCTACCTCCTCACCTCCGAAATGAGTGGATGAGTCCTCTTCTGATGCTCAGAAGGAGCCTTCCCCATCTGGATGTCAAGGCTTGGACCGGCAGGGGAGGATGGGGATTCTTTTGCCATCCCCACCCTCCCTCCCCTGGTGCTGGGAAAAGAGACTTAAGAAGTGCAAATTGGAACCACTGTTCAGCCCTGGCTCGGCTCGGAGCCCCAGGAGGAACAGGAAACAGTCGTGTGGGCGCCACTTCTCAGAACGGTGCCGAGTTTCCCAGCTCCTCCTGTCTCCCAGGCAGCTGTGAGAGATCTCTTTGTTGTTGGGGGGGGTTGTTTGTTTTGGGGGGCTTTTTTTAAGGCAGTTGGGGTTAAGTGACTGCCTAGGGTCACACAGCTAGTACGTGTCAAGGTGTGAGGCTGGATTTGAACTCACATCCTCCTGACTTCAGGGCCCATGCTCCATCCACTGTGTCACCTGGCTGCCCCTGAGAGATCTCTTTGAAGAAAGCATTGAAAGCCCAGCTCAGCAGAAGAAAGTCAAAGGGTCCTAGACCTTGGGTTGGAAGGGAACATGGAGGCCAAGCGCCTTTCTTGATTTGGCCAGTTAAATGACTAGTCCAAGGTCACACATTTTACATAATTTTTAACCTGGTTTAAACTTCAGCCTGATCATCCTCAGGTCTTAGAGCAGGAAGGGAAATCCTCGAATCCAAACCTCTTATTTTAAGGATAAGGAAAGTGAATTCAGGGAAGGGGAGGCTTCCCAAGATCATATAGACATTAACCATCAAAGGTAGGATTTGGACCCAAATATTCTGACTTCCTGCTGTACCACAGTGCCCAACCCAGCCTCATTTTACGAGTGAGGAAGCTGAGACCCATCGAGGTTGGGATTTTTTGAGGCCATATAGACAGAAAGTGGGAGAGCCAAGATTTGAACCCAGGTCCCTAGGGGCTCTCCACGCTGCTTCCCCTAACTTTCATTTCTTGGCAGCCTGCTTCCTCTCAGGCCCCAAACTGCTTCCCATTTGACTTGGGTTCCATCACTGACGTGCCTCCCTCTCTTCTCCCGCAGAAAGTTAATCAGAAGTACATCACCAACAAGGAAGAGTTTACCACCCTCCAAAAGATCGTGCTGCATGAAGTGAGGGCGGACGTAGCTCAGGTCAGGAACTCGGCCACGGAGGCCCTCTTGTGGCTAAAGAGGTAAGGAGAGGCCTCGGGACAGCCCTACCCTGGCGCTGCCCTTGAGCTGGTCTGGGAAGGTTTTTACTAACCAGGGGCAATGCTTCGCATAGGACCTGATTCACAAAAGGACAGTCAGCTCTGGTGGGTAACTTGAGACAGGACTTCTTGTCATCATCCTGATAATGATCTGATAGGGAGTCAATCCATTAGCCAGCAGGCATTGATTAAATACCTCTTAGGTGCTAGGCCCCAAAGTGAAACCATCCCTGCCCTGAAGGGGCTTATATTCTGAGGACTTGGGTTTGTATTATAGCACTAGTACTTCATTCTTGTTTGCCCTTGGGAGAGTCACTCTCCTGGGCCTCACTTTCCTCATTTGTTACGGCCCAGCTTAGGCCCTTGCTGACCATGGGACCTTTGGGTGTCATATCCTTTATCTTTAAAATTAGGGGGTTGGGCTAATCCCTAAACCCCAGAAGGGGTTTCCGAGGCCATCTAGTCTACCCCATGCCTGAGGATGAGCTCCCCTGACAACGTCCCCAGCCAGTGGTCATCCAGCCTCGGCCGGCACTCCCAAGGCCGCCTGTTCCTCTTTGGGATCACTCACTGGGAAACCTTTCCTCCCAACAATCCTCAATTTGACTCCTTTTCTGAAGGCCCCTCCTAGCACCAGTAGCCTTTGACCACCAAACACGGACTGCTCCATCCTCCTGTTTTATTTCCCCACCACAGAGGACTGAAGTTTTTGAAGGGTTTCTTGACGGAAGTGAAGAATGGAGAAAAGGATATCCAGACGGCCCTCAGTAAGTCGGCGCCACGCCATTTTATTTTTTCATCATTATTATTAATCACGAGTTGGTCGTTGGTAGAATGTGAGTCTGTGTTTCCAGACTGGGTTTATCACTTACTTGCTTTCTCAAGACAAGGACCATCAGCCACATGACCTGGGGTAGGAATAGTCTGGAAGCTTTCTTTCCCCCTTCCTCAGTTTGTCCGTGTGACTTCTCAGCAGACATAACATTCATGTGCTTAATTTAATTCTGAGGCTCTACCTCTTTGCCATGATATAAAAGGCCTCCCCACCGAGCCAGTGCTGAAATGGCCCACCATCAATTCACTTTTATATCTGCTGTCTTGCACTGCCTGCTTTTCATTCTTGTTAGGTACATTTGTTTAATGACTCCCCACATCTGTGTGATGCAGCACAGTTAGGAAGGCAGCATTTGTTTTGGTCTTGAATTAACTCAGAGGACCCTCCAAAGCAGGCATCTGCTTGTTTGTTTGTTTTTTCTTTTGAAGGCAGATTAAAAGAGTTGATGAAGGGATTGTTTGCATAGATGGCAGACTCTTTGTGGCCATGGATGGCCAGGGGAAAGTTTACTAGCTCCTTTCAGAGGGCCTCTGGGCCACTCAGCCTCATTTCCCTGCCCTGTAAATCTGCACTTGCTGGCCTCTGAGGACCCTCCCAGCTCCGAGAGAATCAAGGCAACCCTGGCCTTCAAAGAGCCTAGGCGGAGATGCTGCCTCAGGACTTCCCTTGATTTGGGGACAGGGTTAAGTTTTCATCTTGTTTCAAGGAGCAAATGGGTTCATTTCCTGCTTTTCTGACCCAATTGGTGGGATTGGTCCCTGCCGGCCCAGGGACCATCTCCCCTCTCTCAGCCATGACTAATGCTTGAACCCCTTCGCTATGCTGATTGCCCTCTTCTGAATATTCTCCCCCTTATTGACATTCTTGCTGAAATGTGAACCTGGCAGGGACCACAACCCTCCAGATGTGCTCTGACCAGGGGCTGCCACCTCCTTAGTCCTGTTAGCACTGCCTCCTCCCATTCAATCTGCAGAGATCAGAATCGAAAGTATTTGTGTCCGCAGAGTAACCTCTCACAATTCTGGGGCTCAAGGCATGTCCCCCTCCCTCACTGATGCCCCCACTCACCACTAAGGAGACCCCTTTTTTGTCCCAGATAGAAATTAGGGAGCAGCAGCGTGCTGTAGTGGAGGGCATGGAAGCAGGCCAGAAGGAGACACAGAGTATCTGGACAGCTTTGAAAGTTCCGTGTTGAATGTACCTAATAGGTAAGAAGAAAATCTCGCTCGGGGTAAAAGAGTCAGAGTTTCCCATACCACATTCTCCCCTGTTCTGCAAAGTATCTGAAAGTGCTTGTTTTAGTTGATGCTGAAGTTTAGAATTGTTTCTTCAATGGAAGGAAAAGAATTAGAATGTACAGAAGAAAACAGAAGGCAGGCCACAAGGAGACCCAGACTGTCCGGACAGCTTTGAAAGCCCCACATTGAATCTGTTATCTGTGTGAAAGGCAAGCTCTTCAGAAGAGGATTCACAGTTCCATGTACAAAACTTCCTCCTAATTCTACAGTATATGTGGAAATGATTGTTTTATTTGGTGTTCAGCTCACATTTCAAATTTTTAAAAAAATCGTGCTAAGTGAGTGGAGAGAGGAAGGGATTCCTTGGCATTTTGCTGCCCAAATCTCCTAAATGTCACCTACTTTTGAAGCTTGCTCGATCATCGGGAAGACCCAGGCCTCCACCCCTCCATCAGTGGGACCCGACCATGGCAGGGAGATGTCGTCTGAGCCGAGGTCAGCAGCATCTCAGCGAGGGCAGGGCAGGGGTGGGGGGCTGTTCCTCTGAAGACAGATTCGATAGGAAGAACCCGCACAGACAGGAGAGGAGCCAGCATTTAGGGGGTCAGAATAGAGGGGCCTCTTCTAGGCCTTTCTAAGTCCTTTTCTTTTTAGGCAATTGGGGTTAAGTGACTTGCCCAGGGTCACACAGCTAGTAAGTGTCGAGTGTTTGGTCTGAGGCTGGATTTGAACTCAGGTCCTCCTGACTTCAGGGCCAGTGCTCTATTCACTGCGCCACCTCGCTGCCCCGTCTTCTGGGCCTTTCTTAACTGAAAACAGTGGAATCCAAGTCCGATAGGACAGCAGCCTTTGGGCACGGTGTTGGCAATACTGGGGATGCAGAAATGAAATCCTCCCTGCCTTCAGGGAGTTTCCATTCTGTTGAGGGAGACAGGTACCCATAGAAGTGAAAGACGCTGGGCCATCTAAGCACATACAAAATGCACACTCTGTCAGTACAATGGAACTTAGGTCCTGTGCCTTCGTGAAGTCATGTCCCCATCAAGGTTTCTCTCTATAAGACCTTAACGTGGCAGAGGACTGAGCCCTCCATCCAACCTGCCCTTCCAGATGCATCCCATGCTACATGGGTCTGTCGTCCACCCAGACCAGCTTACTGGCTCTTACCTGAAGTCAGTGTCTCCTCTCCCACCTCCCTACCTTTGCCCAGGCTGTCCCCTCCCCTCCACCTCTTAGAATCCCTGGCTCCATTAGAGGCTCAGATCATTTGCTACCTCTTACAGGAAGCCTTTGCTGACCCTACCTTGCTGTTGGCATTCTTCCTGTAAAAACCAGCACCTGTGTATGCATCTGCTCAGACAATGCAGCCTTGCCGTGGAGCGGAAGCTCCCTGAGGGCAAGGTCTCATTTTTTTTTTCATTTTGCCTTTTACATCTGGGCACTGAGGTTAACTTTGTCAGCTCAGCTTGGATTTCTCTGATTCACAGCCAAGTGGTGGGCCTGAGGGCCGTGACCCACGTCCAGCTGAGTTTTAGAAAAAGCAGAGCCTCCCCTGGTGGCCCAGCTGAGTCTCAGTGCCTTAATGGTGAGCCACTATCATCCCCATTTCATAGATGGGTAAACTGAGGCAAGGGGTGATTGAGTGGCTTTCCCAGGGTCACATAGATGGACACGCAGTATTTGAGGTAGGATCTGAACGCGGGGCTTCCTGACCCCAAGTCCGGCCCTTCATCCATGGTGTGCCTGAGCTGCTGTCTGATGGGCATCGGGTCTTCCTGGGCCACCACAGCCAGTGAGAGAAGGCACAAACTCTGTTTCTTTTAGACCTTAACTGCCTCCCCTTTAGGAAGCAGGCCTCTATTTTCCCTACAAATGAATGGGAATTCTTGGCAGTGAGGTCTTTCCCTGCACCAGGCTCAGGGTCGACCTGGCCGTTAGCCAGGACTTTGCCGGGATCCAGCTGTCTGACCCTCAGTAAGCCCCTCTCGGAGGCTCGTCGGCCTCACAGGGAAAGCGAGGGGAAAGCAGGGTCGCCTTCACGCTGAGTTTATCAGACGGTGGCAGCCCTCCTAGAATCAAAGGGAGCTTCCCCCCTTGCAGGAGTTTGACCCCTTTGGGGAGTCTAGAATCTGGCACATCCAGTGAAGCCTGGGCCCTCCTCGGGAGGATGCTTCCACATGCAGAGGGTGACTAAGGAAACGCAGTCCTCAGGACATTTTCAAAGGCAAGCTCACGGCCCCGGTTAGAACCCCCCACCGCTTTATTAGTGTGTCGCAGAGGCCCAAGAACGTGCAGCCGGTCACGGATACGGGGGGACTTATCATTTGCACATCGTCTGCCCCGTCCAACTGTGAGCCCCTTGAGGGCTGGGATGGTTTGGGGGTGCACGTAGTAAGCAGCTAAAGAAATGCCGATTGCTCGATTGGCACCTTCACTCCCCACCTCCGTCCGTTTCCACATCCTGCACCTGCCTCTTCACAAACATTTCCACCTCCCACCCTCTTGTCAGTCAGCAAACACTGGCTGTATGCTTTGCAAAGTGCTTACTTAGCAGGGACTTAATAAACGCCTCTTCCTGACCAAACAGGAGACAGAGAACATTGTGAAAAGCAAAATGGATCATTTTGATTACATTAAATTGAAAAGTTTTTGCACAAACAAAGCCAATGCAACTAAGATTAGAAGGAAGGTAGAAAATTGGGAAAGAATTTTTACAACCAGTCTTTCTGATAAAGGCCTCATTTCTAAAATATATAGAGAATTAAGACAAATTTATAAGAACACAAGCCATTCCCCAATTGATAAATGGTCAAAGGATATGAACAGACAGTTCTCAGATGAAGAAATTAAAGCCATCTATAGTCATATGAAAAAATGCTCTAAATCGTTATTGATTAGAGAAATGCAAATCAAAACAACTCTGAGGTACCACATCACACCTATCAGATTGGCCAACATGACAAAACAGGAAAATGATAAATGTTGGAGAGGATGTGGGAAAATTGGAACGCTAATACATTGTTGGTGGAGTTGTGAAATGATCCAACCATTTTGGAGAACAATTTGGAACTATGCCCAAAGGGCTACAAAAATGTGCATACCCTTTGATCCAGCAATAGCACTTCTAGGGCTATATCCCAAAGAGATCAAACAAATGGGAAAAGGACCCATATGTACAAAAATATACATAGCAGCTCTTTTTGTGGTGGCAAAGAATTGGAAATTGAGAGGATGCCCATCCATTGGGGAATGGCTGAGCAAGTTGTGGTATATGAATGTAATAGAATGCTATTGTGCTGTAAGAAATGATGAATAGGCTGACTTCAGAAAAACCTGGAAAGACCCATATGGTCTGATGCTGAGTGAAGTGAGCAGAACCAAGAGGACTTTGTACACAACAACAGCCATGTCATGCAATGACTAAGATTGTTAAACTGAACCTTTCTCAGCATTATGAGAGGCCTCAGGATGGATAATGCTGTTCACATTCAAAGAAAGAACTATGGAAGTCAAATCGCTATCACTTATTTTTACCTTCTGTTGAGTTTTGTTTCATCTTTCTGATGGTTCCTTGTATTGGTTTTAATTTTTACTTACAACTTCACTAATGTGAAAATATGTTTAATGGGTATGTAAATGTAAAGCCTATATCAAATTGTGCGCCGTCTTGGGGAAGGTGGGGGGGGGAGGAAAAGGGAGAAAAATTTTCAACTCAAAAGCATATGGAAAAAATAAAAAAAGTTAAATAAAAAAATATGTTTTTAAGTTAAAATAAATAAATAAATGCCTCTTCCTTTGCCTGTCCCCTTACTGTCTCGTACTGGGGATGCAGACAAAGGGAGAAGGCGGTCCCTGCCCTCCAGTAGGACTCATCCTCGTTTAAAAAAGAAAAGTTCAATCGTTCAGCAAAAGTGTCACCTCGGCTGTGGCTGAAGGCATACGCCTCGCTCTGCACCAGTAGTCCACCGCCTCTTGGCAGACAGAGGAAGGCCTGCTTCATGGGGGAAGTTGGCCGTTCGTCAGAGTTCTGCTGTCTTTCGTCGCTTTTTCCTCAAGAAATAAATAATGGGTCCAAATGTTGGTGACATTTGTTAGCTGTTTCCCGATGTGATTTGCAGAGTGCCATTTTTGTACCTTATTTCATAGAATTTGGGGTTTTCTTGAGACCTCCTCCCTGCCCCCACCTTGTCTTCTTTCCTTGTGTTTTGGCTCTGATTCGCGGCAGTTTTACTCAGCCAGATCTTTGTTCCCACTCTGAGCCCTCCTGGCCACCTCCTTCATTCAGAGGCCTCGCTTCTCCCCATGACTGACAGTGTGGACGTCTCCAGCCACGTCAGCTGATCTTTTTTCCCCATGGGCTTTTGATTCGTCACGTTTGTTTCCACACACATGCATGTAGAACCGTCAGTCCTCAGGGGAGAGTTTCTCACAGAGTTGTTTGTGTTTCTTTTTTAAAGACAATGCCTACGGCAAGACGTTGCGGCAGCACCACGGATGGGTGGTTCGAGGCGTCTTTGCGGTGAGTGGTCGTTTCAGCGTCTGCTGTGGGCGCCCCCCCACCGTGCCAGGCTCGCCGAGCAGGATCCGTAGGGCTGGGAGAGCCAGGGTCAGGATGCTGGGGGGCTGCCCCAGGCTGCGGCCCCTCTGTGTCTCAGGAGGGGGATCCTACATCGAGACCCAGCAGAGACCTTGGAGGCCTTTGGGCCCAAGCCCCTCGTTTTAAAGCTGGGGAAACTGAGGCACGGGCAGGGAGGCAGAGCGCCCCGATCAGATCTTGAAGGCTCACCTAGCTCCAGAATCCTGTGATCTGCTCACTTCCCCACAGTGCAGTGGAAAGGGAGGGTCAGCAGACCCAGGGGCAAATCTCTGTGACTCTGGACAAGTCAGTTAACCTTGAGGCAACCTCTTGTTGTTGCTGGGGGGTACTGGTCCCAGGCATGGGCTGGATCCCATGGCCGGTCACATGGAGCCTCCCCTCACCCACCCACCCCCATCACTGTATCGGTGCCCCCAGAAAAAGTTACCTTGGTTTCAGAGAGCGTTGGAAATCTTTTTGCTAGAGGTGGTTCCTGCCACACTCAGCGTTACTCTGGGCCTCAGTCTCCTCATCTGTACAACGGCCTCTGACGTCCTCTGGTGAGGCCTCAGTCTCCTCCTCTGTAAGACGAGGGCCGGTCCCATGTTCCCCATTGTCCCAGAGCCTCGTTAAGAACGCCCAGATCATGACGCCTTCTGGCCAGAGGCTCTTTCCTCTGGGCTCTGGCCTTGCCATCTGTCTTCTCTCCGGTTGGCCGGCCCATCCTGGCTGAAAAGAAGGGGGCAGAGGAGGGAGGAGCCCCAGAGGCGCCTGGGCATCTTTCCCCAGGGGCTGCCCCGCTAACCTAGAACCATTCACACGAGCCACGCGGTGACAGAGATGGCAGCCACTCCCTGGCGACTCCATCTTGTGCCTAGTGGGCAGGCGTCTTTTGGCATGGACGCTCTTGTTACTAACAGAGGTGGATTGACTCAAGCACTGTGAGCAGCCTTAGTGGAAGGGGGGCCGTAAGAGAAGATGCCATGCCAGAAAGACCCAGGTTCAGATCCTGCCTCAGACACTGAACAGCTGTGTGTCCTCCATCTGCCTCTGGTCCCTAATCTTTAAAATGAAGGCCTTGGCTCCATGACCTTGATGGGGCTTCCAGCCTATGAATGTTAAGGAAACCAATTTTGTAGTTATCTCCGGTCATGATCACTAATACAAAAGAGCACATCAGCTTTGCCTTGTACTCTTAGGTCAGTGGTTCAGTTCCAACTCAGGACTTCATAAGATGTGAGACAGCTAGGTGATTGAGCTCCACACTTGGAGACCAGGAGACCTGGATTCAATCCTGCTTAGACCTCTCAGTGAGCTGGGCCCAGTGACCATCAAGGTCCCTTTCAGCTTGAAATCTCTGACCCTCGGAGTGTTATGTCATTTGAACCCCGCACATAAGCTGGAAGGCACCAGGGCTGGATGGAAAGTGTCCAAATCCTGTCTTGGATTACCTGGACAAAGTAGGGTGAACACTCTCCCTTCTGGCGTCAGGTTCCTTCTCTTTGAATGGACCAGACCCGGGGTCTTGTGTGCCCTGGACCCCTTGGGTAGTCATCTGGTGAAACCTCTGGACCCCTTCTCAGAATCATGTTTCTAAAAGCAATAAATGAATGAATGCAATACACAGGATTGCATAGGAAACCAAGCCCATGGAAATCAAAATATAAATCTTCCTGCCCCATTTCACAGACTCCCCCTAAAATCGATACACCTGCCCTTTGGAGGCCCAAGGACCTTCTGGCTCAAATACCTGAGGTGTAGGTACTGCAGGTGTTTTTATCACTCCCATTTTACAGATAAGGAAACAGGCCCAGAGCTGTTAAATGAAAGAAATACATGAAGAATTGTCATACAGGTGGGGTGGCCCCTGGCACAGTAGAAGGATAGTGGTATTGGCAGCAGAAGAATTGGGTCCAAACACAACCCTCCAGCTTACTCATTGTATGACCCTGGACCAGCCTCTCCACTGCTCTGGGCCTCAGTTTCCCCATGTGTAAAAAGAGAAGACTGGGCTATATGGTGGCTAAAGTTCCTTACGGTTCTAGTCTATGATCAGTCCATCAATTGTGGCTAATGATATCACCGATGACCGTCACTGTGGGGAAGTGGCCTCCCAACCCTGGTATTCCCAGCCACATCACGGTGACTGTGCAGGATTTTAGAGATGTCGGAATCACAGAAACTGAAAGCCAGAAGGGACCCTCAGCGGGCGCCAGTCTGGTCTTTATAGATGTCAGGAATGGGCAAAATCCAGGGGTCTTAACCCGGGATCTGTTAACGTGAGGGTTTTCCTCCTTCTTTTGATAACTGTATTTCAATACAATGAATTCCTTCATAATCTGATGGATTTTATTTTATGTATTTAAAACCTTATTCTGAGAAGGGGCCCCTGGGCTTCACCAGACTTGTCACGGGACGGATGGGAGGAGACAGGGCCCACAAAAGACCAAGAACCTTGGCTTTATTGGAGTTCTTGGATCTCCCTCATCTCCAGGAGGCGAAGTACGAGCAAAGAGAATGCAGGGCCTGAGGGAGGGAGCTGGCTGTCCCATCCTTGCTTTCTTCCCCACGTGGGTTCTCAGATCCCTGAGCTTCCCTTCCTACACACAGAATGTGGTTTTATACATCAGGGGAAAGACAAGAGAGAGGAAAAATTGTCCAGCAGAGTATGTGTGTCTCTGTGTGAGGATCTGTGCATGTGCATGTCTGTGAGGGTGTATCTGGGTGTCTGGGTGAGTATATGTGTTCTCTCTGCATGAGTGTATCTGGGTGTGTGTGTGTGTCTTTGTGTGTGTGTGTGTATGAATGTGAGGGTGTGTGCATGTCTGTATGTGAATGTGTGTATGTATTTGTGTATGTGTCTGTGTGTAAATGTGTGTGTGCACACGTGTATGTCTCCGTATGCACATCTGTGCATGTGTCTTTGTGGGTGTGGCTGTCTAGGTCTGTATGTATCTCTGTGTGGGTATGTTTGTGTGTGTGTGTCTGTCTGTCTGTCTGTCTGTGTGTGTCTTGGGAGAACATGTGTTCACAGTCCTTTATCTTCCAGCTAGCACTAAGGGCAGCTCCATCCTACGAAGATTTCGTGGCGGCGCTGACCATCCGGGAAGGGGACCATCGCAAAGAGGCCTTTAGCCTCGGGATGCAGAGAGACCTGAACCTTTACCTGCCAGCCATGGAGAAGCAGCTGGACGTCCTGGACAGCCTGTATGAAGCCCACGGTCTGGAGTCTAATGAAGTGGTCTGACCACCGTGGACCAGTGCCTCCTCACAACTTCAGGGAATGACACGGGATCCGATCTTGGCTTTCCAAGGCTCACTTCCATCAGCCTCCTCCTTCCTCCCCCTGCTTCCCCCTGGCAAGTGACGGGGCCAGGCGGAGCCCCCCACCCTTCTGTGTCAAAACTCCCAATGCCCGCACATCTGTGTGTGTAAGGACCCAGGTGCTATGTCCTGGTTCTGAGGGCCCGTCAGGCACCAGATTGTCCAGGGGGCCCTGGCGTGTGCTCTGACCGACCCACACGAGGCCAGGAGGTCGGCCCTCACCATCCTCATCTCAGAGGCTAAACTGGGCATGAGTTCTTTGACAAAGATTAACGTTTGCAGGGGATTGTTTGCACCTCTCCCAGACTTCAGCCAATAATGTTTTTGAGATGATTGAAAACAGATGCTAACAGAGGCGCCATCCCCCTTTGTTCTCTCCTCCTATTTCACCTTCTCTGCGGATGCTTCCTTGGCTGTGGCCCAGAGCATCCTCCACGTATCTGGGGGCTCAGACCCCGGAGGATGGCCCTGTCCTCTCTGGATCACCACACCCACCTGGTCCTGCCCCAGGGGAAGTCAGGAAGAAACAGGAATAACCGCGGTGGTCATCACGGCTCACCTTCTTGTAACGCTCTCCCCGACAGAGGGCTTCCCCAGCATTCTCTTGGAGTAATGTAGGTGCCGTGTCCATTTACAGTGGAAGAAACTGAGTCAGATGGAGGTGATGCTTAGAATGCATCTCCTATATGGAGGCCTGCTCTCTCATTGGGGTGAGTGGGCCGAGGCCTTCTCCTTCACGGGATGATCACCTAGCAGGTGTGCTCCCCAATTTCTGTGTTTCCCATCTGGTTTGCGTGCAGATGAGCATCACAAAGGCAGCTTGGGGACAGTGACCTCGCGGCAGACCTCCCAGAGGAACACAAGCCTCCCTGAGACACACACACAGAGCCCTCCTTTTCTCCCAAAGCTTCCTGCAGAAGGACATCATTCCCATCGGGGTGGGCGGGTGGGGATTTCTAAGCAAACAAGTGAGTTTAGTTTAAAGGAACTTGGTTCCTGTTCCTGGTAAAGCACTGAGATGCTGGAGAGAAGCCACATGCACTAAGCTGTTTTGTATTGGAGGAGCTATCTGGTTCAACAGCCGCAGATCCTGGGAGCACCCTGCCTGCAGAGAGGCCCCAAGGCCGGCCGCACTCATGAGGACAGAGGAAGAATTTGGGCTTCCTGTCCATGCCTTACCCACTGTGGGGAGTCTCAGATCTGGGCTTCTCCTCCTCTGAAGCTGAAAGCTTGCTTTGTTGATAGAGAAAGTACGGCAGCCTGTTCTCATTCCCGAACAAAACTGTCCGTTCCCGCTGTGCTGGTGCACAGGGGCCGCACCTGAGGGTGGGCTTGGTCGCGACTCAGGCTCTTCTGGATCGGGGCTATTTGGAGACTTTGTGCGTGCTGCCTTCGAGCACCTGGCTGTTCTCTGTCCAAGTGGAGGGGCTTGATGTCAGCACTGAAGACCATGAGTTGAGGCTGCTGAGGGCTTCACTGGTCATCTCCACTTGCTGAGCCTCATTTCTGTTCTCTATAAAATAAGGGAAATAGACCCACCCACTCACTGAGGCAGCCTGGTGTGGTGGGTATGCAGAGCATTCAGGGCTCCAAAGAGCTGGATTCGAGCCCTGGGTCTGTCGCTCACTAGCTGTGTGACCCTGAGCCAGTCACTCCACCTCTGAGTATCTCAGTTTCTCCATATGTAAAGGGAGAGGGTTGAGCTAAGTAATGTCTAAAGGCCTTCCTAGCTCCAAACCTGTGATCTGTTTTCCTCACCAGCATGAAGGAGGGTCTCAGGACTCCCTGGATGAAAATCATCTTTAGAAGCACCCAGAGTTCTAACTTCAGCTGGAGGAAGGCCTGACTCTTCTGTCTTTTAATAAGCATCCATATATATGTGTGTGTGTGTGTGTGTGTGTGTGTGTGTGCATATATGTATATATATATATGTATGTATGTGTATATATACATATATGTGTGTGTGTGTGCGCATATATATGTATGTATGTATGTGTATATATATACATATATATATATATATATATATATATACACACACACACACACACACATATATATATGTGTGTGTGTGAATCTATAAGGCTTCATTATTAAATTCTTAATTTTAGTTGGGGCACAGTTGACCTTCTGTAATGTTTATCGTCACTCCCTGAGAGAGTGAGAGGGCAGTCGCTAACCAGAAGAGAGGAACCAACTATACTACTTCTCCCTCTCCTGGCCCCACCAGACTTCTTGTCCTCTGACCAAGCCTCAGCTTCCCAGACTGCCTTTCACCAGTTTACATGACTCATTGATCTCATTAAGTCCTGTGATTCATTTTTTCACAAACATACTAGAGCGTATACGTTCAGATTAGTGTAGTCATCTTCTTGGACTTAGCTTGTGTTTTCTTATTTTGAGAGTGCTGCTTTAAGAGAGTGATGGCCGACAACCGTCATTCCACCGTCATGACAATCATGGGACCAGCTCTCCAGAGCCGCCATTTTGGGGCAGTGATTCCTTTGTTTCATCAGAACTACTGTTCCTCAAAATGTTTCAAGAACTATTCACATATTTAGCACCTGCATCCAGTTCTTACATCCTCAGTAGTCCCTGAAGGATGGACTTTATTACTGGAAATAGTCAGAAGTCATTCAGAGCTACATCTGATAAATAAGTTAGATTCCCTTGGTAATATCATTGGTAGTAAGATTCAAGGGGTGATGAGAAAATTAAAACTCATTTTCTCACATCGCTTGCCAGCTCTCTCCCAAGGGATTTCCAAAAATCAAAGGAATCACTTGAGGCCTCCCTAGTCCATAGATGTAACGCTGAGGGGTGTGCCTATAACATAATCCTGTAAACATGGTCATGGTCACATTCCTATTAAGAAGGAGCTTCTGGAAAGATTATTATCCTATTAGTGGCATGCGTTAACCCAATTCATTGCAGTAAAGGGTGAAAACAATCACTTAGAACAAAGGGTAAAGGCTGAGTTGAGGTTTACCCATGTTAATGGAAGTGAAAAGCAGCTTTGGTCCGAGCTTCCTGGTAAGGGGAAGATTAGACCAGTTCCAAATGGCTGGGAGACATCAGGTTTTCACAGGATCACAAGCAGTGAAGAGAATTGCCTGAAGCATTTTGGGAATCTTCAGCTCCTGGGAATGTGCTTATACTTTATTGTGACTCCCACCACTGGGGGCTCATAGAGAGAAGACAGCATCTTGGATGAACATGGGCTCTCCTAAGCTGAATTACAGCATCCTCATACAAGTCAGTTAAGTGGATTTCAGTATCTTTGTGAAAAATATCAAAAGCAGTCCCTTAAAATATTACTCATAAGTTTCTAAAGCTACTTGGAGTGGTTGGGGGGGGGTTCTCCTCAATATTAGTCCTTATTTTAAAGATTAATTAAACCGAGTGTGAGCTGGAAGGAAACTTTAGAGGTTATCTTGCCCAACTCCCTCCTTTTACAAGTAAGGAGACTAAGATCCATTATTGATTGGATTACTATTTAAAATTTAGATTTTTTTTAAAGAGATATAGAATTGGTTGTAGTTCATTGACATTAACTATGTATGACACTGGAGACCTTGGGCTCTCAATTTTTGTGTATGTCATAGACTCCTTTGGCAGTCTGGCTAAAGCCTGTAGACTGCTTCTCAGAGTACTTTTTCTAAATGCATCAAATAAAAATACATAGGATTTCCTAGAAAGCCAGTTATATAGAAATACACCAGTATATCTAGGTGTTAAAAAAGCAAGTTCACGCCCCCAGGTTAAGAACCCTTAGACAGCAATGTGTCCTCAGCTTGCAACCAGCCCATCCATGTGTTATGTCTATGCTGGGCACCGTTGAGAAACCAGCTCAGCCTCTGGACTGTCCCCCTTATCTGCTGATTGTTTATTCGAGATTTAAATGCGTATTTCCCCTAGCCCAGCCATTTAATGGCGTTTGTAGGTTCGTTCCAATCTACTGGGGCCCTTTGCTAGTCCATAAGCATTCTCTTCTTCCAAGGTGCTGATTTCCATCCTCTCAGATATTCAGCCCACTGTGCCTGCATATTCTGTCCATTTGCATGTTTTTCATGGTAACAGTTCCCCATCAACCTCGTAAGACACTCTGGCGCATGTTTGAATGAGCATTTTATAGACCAGTCTGCTAAGTTTTGAAGCATGCATTGATTCCTTCTTCCATGCTCTTCTCATCCAGCCCCTTGGTATAAAAAAGAAGCCAGGTTCTCCCCTTAAATGGGAAAGTCAAGTTTCTTCCAAAGCGGGGCAATTGCCTTTTCCCTGTGATGCCATCCCTTCTGTGACAGGGAAGAAGTCTGAGCTAGAGCTGTCGGAAAATGCCTGGGGATCAAGTTGGAGACTCTTTCCTCCCTGTTCTAAGCACATTTCATGCTCTTACAAACTTTGTTCAGTATTTGTTCCACTTTTCTTAACTATGACAAATTCTACCACGCACACAAATCCACACAGACCTCTGTGTATACACGTGTTTTGACTCATGTCTCCCAGGGGTGATGAGGCACAAGATGGTGTCATATAGACTTCCGTGGCTCCTAGAGAGCTGATGTGCCGATTTCCAGGCCAGTTTGATGCGTGTTTCCTGTAGCCCACGTGGGAATTTTGGTAGGATGTCATCAGACAGCCCATCTACCTCATTTTGAAATTGGCCACAGACAATCAGTGTCTGTCGGGAGAAAAATATATTGCTAAAGTAAATGTAAACAAGTGAATGGGTGGAGTGGTGTATATAAAGGGGAGGGGGAGGGACTTGGTAGAATATATGCCAAAGGCTAGAATGTACATAGTGGTATCTCCCTGCATTCGTTTTTTAAATAAATGTTCAGCTTCGTGTCTTGTATTTCTCTCTTCAGCTTCTGCAGTTTCATAGTTGAACTTGTTAGCATCCCAGGTGGTCTCCCATTTGGAGGCAGAATAGACAGAAAAGAGGATAAACTTAGAGGACTATGTGAGGTAGTTTGTTGATTTCTCTCCATTAGGCCCTCTTACCAAACTTTGCCTAGAACATCAAATTTTGGTGTGCTCTGAGTTCGACCAAATAGAAGCTGATTGTTTTTTGTTGTTGTCATGACTCTGAACAAGTTAATCCTGTATATCAGTTGAGACAAGATGGGATGGGGTGGGGGACAGGGCTTTACTTCTTTTGCAAGAATGTTTTGAAACATCTGTCAGATTTTATATTGTTTAGTTACAATAAACTTATTTTTAAAGTATTTGCCTTTAAATGTTTCTTTTCAGTTTTGCAATCTATTGTGTTTCCCTCTGAGTTCATTGAAAATTCACTAGCTAATTCAGGTCACTGCCCCCCCCACATGGGACTCAGCTTCCCCATCTTTAAAATGGGAGAGTAAAGCTGGATGAACTCCAAAGCCCGTGTCAGTTGAACTGGTGTTGATGGCAAGGACATGATGAGGCAGTGGGTGGTGGGCATGGAGAAGCTAGCCCAGTGCTTTAAACCACACCATAACTGCAGACAGTGCACAAGGTGCTAAACAGGTACCTGTCTAGGGGGAGAGAAAGTTATGTGGGCCCACAGGGAGCATTGATCTAGAGCTAGAACGGTCATTAGAGCACATTTAGTACAGCTCCATTTTACAGGTGAGTCAGAGCCTTGGGAAAAGTACTCACTTCAGAATCGAAGCACTTCACCATATTTCCCAATGGACCTACACCATCTGGATAACCCCTGACGACTTCAGAGACTGAAGTCCATTTTTTTCCCTTCCATATCATGACTTAGTCCCTTTCTGTTCCTCCAGGACTAGGGCTTTCTCTCCAAGACTGCGGCACTAACTAGGAACTCTTACCTTTTCTCTTAAAACAACTGGGTCCCTGAACTATTGAGTAAATCAAAATTTGTCCAAGAAACTGCCTCTTCTCCGTCTAGGAGACTAGGTCCCAGAACTCTTGAAGAACTGGAC